AGCTGCGTTTTCTGTGCCCACGCTTGTCTCCCACAACCCGTCCCCCACCCCCCAAATGCTTTTTCCCCCGGGGCACACCCACCCCCCCCCCCCCGGCCCCCCAAAAAAGTGTGGTCAGAGGACAACAGAATTTCTGAGTCAGTTCTCTCCTTCCACCATGTAGATCCCAAAGATCTAACTCAGGTCACCAGGCTCGGTGGCCGGCACCTTTGCCACTTGAGCCTTCTCACTGGCTCAGAGACCCATCTTTTTTCTTTGGAGTCAGGGTCTCACTATATAATCCTGTCTGGCCTCAAACATGTCTTGATCTTGCCTCAGACACCTACATGCTGGAATTAACAGGCTTATTTATGTACATGGTGCTCTTTCTCTAGTTCCAGGAGTATAGGGATCTTCAGCTCACACTGCACAGGACTTGGCCTACAGAAGCTACTGTGTTCACTGAAAAAACACAGCTTCCTAGTACCCATCTTCCATCATGTAGAATTCGCACCCATCACTCCACTACCTGCTGTGTCTTGCTAGGTGCCATAACCCCTATCTTCTGATATGCTGACAGTACCCTGTAGGGCCAGCTATACCTGTCTTGCTGTATGATCCCTACCAGAATGTGCTGTGAGCCCCTGGAAACTGGGACAAGGTGTTTTCAGCTGTATGCAAGATCATGTAGTCCTGAACTGTTACCAGAGACAAAGTGTGGTCAGGAGATGTGTGTTGGGTCCCCAAACGACAAGAACTAGATGGCCAGGTAGGTTGTCACTTTGGCTGTAGTCACACAGAAATCTAGGTGTTGCTACAAAGACTTGGCTTTTCTCTTCTAGTTGACATAAGGTCTCACTATATAGCCCAGGATGACTGAATTTACAGTCCTCTTTCTCCAATTTAAGACATAAAAGCATCTTTAAGGTATAATTAAAGTCCACAGTGGTACAGCTTTATAATTCTGGGATTTGGGAGGCCGAGACAGGAGGATACAAAGTTCAGGATGAACCTGGGTTATATAGTGAGAACCAGTCTGAAAAATAAAGATGGATGTGGTAGTGCACATCTGTAATCCCAGCACTTGTATGGAGACAGAGGTTGAAGATGGAGCGTAACAATCGCCTCTAAGCGCAAAGGCCAGCTAGCCTGGAGTGCACAGCCCAGCAGAAACAGGATGAGACCCTCCATGAAAACAACTCCCAAAAATTGTCATTTCCCTCCACACATGGGTACACTCAGAGTAATAAATAAAAAAACAGGACCAGTGTGGTAGCTCACAACTTATAATCCCAACACTTAAGAAATTGGGGTAGGTAGAATGCTATGAGTTAGAAACCAGCCTGGAGTATATAGTGATAGAGGTTAGGCTACAGAGTGAGACCCTGTTTCCAAAACCCCAAACATAATTAAGGTCAGTTGACTACCATCCTAGATGACTTGGGAGACAGCAGGAGGATAGCAATGGGAAGGGGCCAGGGCTCAGGTTTCCCTGCAGAAGACACTGTCCTCCCCAATCCAGGCAAGCAGGGAGAGGAATGACTGGCAGGTGTGTGCACACTCTCATGCTGATGGTGACTTTCCAGTGTACGGATTTGTGCTCTTGGTGAATTATAGAGGTCCCCATGGTCTCGGGGTTTCTTTGCAAGTATGGGTCCAGTACATAAGGTGCTGGGAGCCAGGGCACTGAAGGTGTTGGGTGGGGTGGTTCCCCCAACCATGCTGAGTCACTCTAGCTATTCAACTGACAGCTGGGCCTGGCCCTGTAGCTCTGCCAGGCACTTGTCCAGGCCTGAAGGCTGTGGCCAAGCTCCCCAAAGTCCTTGGGGGAAGTGAGGCACTGGTGGGGCCCTCCCTCCCTCCCTGAAGCCCCCTCCCCAGGGCCTGCTTCCCGGAGCTGGGTTCTTCCCCAGAACCCCATGATTCATCCCTGCTGGGCCTTTTCACTTCTGCTTTGGGGCTAAAAATATAGGGACCCAGGCGTCCACTGAGCCAGGCCTCCCCACACATTGCACAATGCCTCTCACTGGAGCTCTGCTGACGCAGGGACCAAGTGGGGGCCCCAGCTGCTCCCCAGTTGGGTGTGTCTAGGTCAGGCCTCGACTTCTGCGTTTCCCCTTTCCTGGGCCAGGTGAGCCCTGGGTTTGGCTGTGGTTGAGCCAGCTGACCTTCCTCTAGCCCCAGGTACCCCTCACAGAGTCCCTGTTAGAAGTTGGGGGCAAAAGGCAACAATGGGGCTAGTAGAGAGAGGCAGGGAGACACAGGCAAGAAAGAGGTAGGATGGGGGCATAAATAGCTGGAAGGAGTTCATAGGGTGATGCAATGGGTCAACCTCAGGAAGGTCTGTCTGAAGGGCCAGCCGGCCACACCCAGGCCAGGTAGGACATGGGGATGGTAGTAGGGTCCCAGGAGCTGAGGTCATCTAGTCCACCCAGTTCCAGGTCCACCCCAGGTCAGAGCAGAGCATTAAGTGGCAGTGGGAGGGCAGGCTGGGTCTGTGCTGTTGCCATGCACGGGCCTCTGCTACCCCCTGCTGGCTTCGGCCACACTGTTCAGACTCTCCAAGAATAAATCAGAAGGAGCCAGCTGCTTTGCCTTAGGCCACTCTTCATTCACTGCCCCACCCTCCTCCTGGCCCAAGACCTCAGAGGCTGCCCCCAGGGCCAGTTGAGGGCGCTGTAGTCTTGCCTGTGACCTTGTTGGCACAGTCCAGTAGGGCGGTGTGAATGTCTTTGGCACAGGCAATCTGGGTTTTGATGACAGCCAGGTACTGTGGGTAGGGCAAGCTGTCTGGCTGCACGGCGTCTGGTTTGGTGGCCGTGGGTACCAACGTCGGAGAATGCTTCGCACTGTCACAGCTCTGCGAAAGGCACTCATGGGCCAGGCGCTGTGGGCGAGCAGGCAAGGGCACAACATCACCATCACTCAGGGACCTGCAGCTCTCCAAATCCCTACATTACCACCACCCCTTGGGCCAAACTACTAGGTCCCAGGACTCCAAAGGTCTTGTAGTTGAAGCCTGTCCCTGCCAGTTGCTTGCTGATGACCAAGGGTATGTGGCTATTCCTCTCTGAGACTGAGCCTCAGCCTCGGATTTTAAACTCTGTTTTTTGGAACAAGGTCTCACTATGTAGGACTGGCTGAGTAACTGGGATTAAAGGCCTCCACCAACATGCCCAGCTTAAATGTTTTTTGCTATTGGTGATTTTTTTTTTTTTTAAGATTTTATATTCTGTGTGTGTGTGTGTGTGTGTGTGTGTCTGTCTGTCTGTCTGTCTGTGAACTTGAGTACTGGAGACCAGAGGCCAGAGCTGGAATAACAGGTGGCTGTTAGCTCCCTGACATGGTGCTGAGAAATGAATTCAGTCCTCTGGAAGAGTGGTACATGTTCTTAACCACCAAACCATCTCTCCAGCTCCTTTTATTCATTTAAAATTTTAATTTGCAGTGTATGAGTGTTTTGCCTACGTGTTTGTTAGTGCATCCATGAGTGTAATGCCTCAAAAAGAGGGAGTCAGATCCCCTGAAACTGGAGTTATGGAAGACTATTAGCCACCATGTGGGTGCTGAGAACGAAACCTGAGTTCTCTGCAAGAGCAGCCAGTATTCTTAACTGCTCAGATATCTCTCCAGCCCCCCCACCCCCACCCCAAGCCCCTTTGTTTTTTTTGAGACAGTTTCCCTATAGCCCCAGCTGATCTGAAACTCATTATGTAGACCAGGCTGGGAAAGGCCTGCACCATCCAATCAGGCTGCCTCTTTTTTTTTTTTCCTGTGGGACAGGGTCTTGCTATATAAACAAAAGCTGGCCTCAAACTTGTGACCCTCCTCTTTAACTCCTGAGAGCTGGGACTACCAGTGTATAGAACTGAGCTAGTGAGATGACCAGAGTTCAATCCCCAGCACTCACATAGTGGAAGGAGAAAACCAACTATCACAGTGGTCCTCTGACCTCCACACATGCACTGTGGCACATGTATATCCCCACATGTGCATTCACAAAACTGAATGGAATACTCACCTCTCCTTGGCTTGTGAGAACAGGGTAACAGGTGTGTGACACATGGCACAGGCACTGTGCACTTTCTGAAGTGTGACTCAATGAACATTAGCTACTGTCATTGCTTCTGTCCTCAGCCCTTGCTTCGCCCATGGTGCCAGCACCTGGCCCTCCTCTAGCCACTCCTAGGTACTGTCCCCTGTCCCTGAACAGCACCCCTCTCATTTCCTCCCAGGGCTGCTGCTCCCCACAACTTCTCAAGTTCCTTCTCTGCGCTGATGAAGTCTGTCCCGACTCCCTGACATTCTCCATTCATCTCCCTCTCCATCAAACACTGACTCTTTTTGTGAGTCCTTGTCTGAGGGATGACTCCCTGTGGTGGGAGTTCTCTGAATCCAGCCACTGTAAGTCCATCTTGCAACAAAATGCCACTTAGCTGTTCTGTAGTGAAAGACTGTCATTCTCACAGTTGGACAGCGTTTACCAAGGCCAGCAGAAACCCTGATAAGAGCCAGGTGTGGGGCTCATGCCTGTGTTCCCAGTGATGGAAAGGTCGGCCAGGAGTTCACAGTCACCCTTCGTTACATAGTGAGTTTGGCCAGCTTGTTTCACAAAGACAAAATACAGTAAAATTGAAGCTTGGTGGGTGGGGGTTGGGACTGCTTAGTGGTACAGTTGCTTGTGTATCACCCAGGCTCCTGTTAGGAAACCCCAAAAGGCATGTATTTCACCAATGTGGACTTGGAATCTTCAGTTGCCTGCACTCTCATTTGGAGGTAAATGGATATTTCTGCTTACATCACTCCAGAAAAGTCATTAACACTTCCCATTTCCCCAAATTTCAACCACAGCTTTGAGCCTCACCCCAGAAACTCCCTCCCCAATGGTCCATCAGTCTTGTGGACTAGTAAGCTTTCATTTCCTCACAGTCCAACCCTGGCTTCCTCCTTGGGCTCCCCCTCCAGGCTCAGCTGCTCTTATGTGCCTCTCATTTCCCAGCCAGAAGTATGTCCTAAAAGGCAAATGGGTCCAGACTGCTGCTTATTCAAAACTCTTCCTTACCTGCCAGTGTACTGAGGATTATATTCAAACTCCAATAAGCCCTAACCCTACTACATCTCTGTAGACACTCTCCTGACATTCCTAAAGGACATTTCCTTCCTTCTTATGTGTGTGGGTAAACTAGGTTTTCAATCTTACTCTTGTTACTCTACCACTGAGCTATAGCCCTAATCCTAAAAAAAAAAAAAAGATTAGCCGCTAGGTGTGGTAGCACACGCCTTTAGTCCCAGCACTTGGCATCTCTGTAAGATCAAGGCCAGTCTGACCTACATAGCTAGTTTCAGGCCAGCTGGGACTACAGAGACCCTGTCTCAAACTCCCCCCACCAAATGTTTATTTTTAATTTACGATTTTAATTTTGTATGTATTTAGCCTTTGTTAGCTGTAATGTGGGTACTGGGAACTAAACCTGGTTTCTTTGCAAGGGTAGCAAGTATGTTTAACCACAGAGCCATCCTCTGACTTTTGTTTTACCTTTGTCTCTTGTTATTTCCTTTTTTTAAAGACAAGGTTTCACTCTGTAGCCCAGGCTAGCCTGGAACTTTTAAGTCTGTTTTTCAAGTGCTGGGGTTACAGGCATGAGCCACCATACCTACCTCCTTATTTTTGACAGGGTCTCACTGTGTAGCCCTGGCTAGCCTGGAACTTTATGTAAGCCAGGCTGGACTCAAACTCATAGAGATCTGCCTACCGGTGCCTTCCGAGTGCTGGGATTAAAGGCATAAGCACCAATCCTAGCTTTACTTTTTGAGACAGGATCTCACTCACTTAGTTGCCAAGACTGGCCTTGGAACCTCTGACTTTCCTGCTTCAGCCTCCCAGGTAGCTGTGCTCAGAGCCTGGCTCCTAAAGGGGACTTTTGTGTGTATGTGTTGGCATGTGTATGAGGGTGCATGTGGAGGCCAGAGGCCAACCTCAAGTGTTGCTTCTCTGGGGCTGCCCACCTTGTTTCCTGAAATAGGGTCTTTCAATGGAAATCAGGACTCTGGGCTACACTGGCTGGCCATTGAGCCCTAGAAAGCCACCTGTCTCTGCCTCCCCAGCACTGGGGTTACAAGTGTGAACTCTCATGCCCTTTCTTTTTTAAAAAATTTTTATGTGTATGTGTGCAAGTGCACCTGTGTCATGTAACACCTGAGGAGGTCAGAAGAGGGAGTCAGATCCCCTGGAACTGGAGTTACAGACAGTTGTTAGCCACCATGTGGGTGCTGGGAAACGAACCCAGGTCCTTTGTAAGAGTAGCCACTACTCTTAACCACTGAGACATCTCTCCAGTCCATGCCTGTTTTTTTTTTTTTTGTCTTTTTGAGACAGGGTCCCTTTTTAGCCTCAGCTGTCCTAGAACTCACTATGTAGACCAGGCTGGCCTTGAACTCACAGAGATCCGCCTGCCTCTGCCTCCCAAGTGCTGGGATTAAAGGCATACGCCACCATGCCCGGCCATGCCTGTCTTTTTATATGGGTGCTGGGAATAGAACTTAGGCCCTCGCTGCTTGCATAGCAGGTACTTTACAAACTACATTGTGTTGCTCTCCCCAACCCCTACTGTCCTAGCCACCATCCTCTGCTGCCTGGCCCATGCTCCATCCTGACCTCTACTACCTACACCCACTCAGGTCTCCTGGGTCCCACCCTCTTCCAAGCAGCCAAAGTTTTAGCCTCAAGCTCCTGTCTGTCCCTGGTAACCTGCCACAGGTCCCTGCCTTCCTGTAGTCTGCCTCTACCACTGTGGTCTCTCCTTTAGGTACTGTCCTAACTCCCCCTCTAGCTACCCATCGCATAGAATTCCTTGTTCCACCAGCAGCCTTTTGTGAATCACTTTCTCCCTACCTCAACCCCAGGCTTACCTGTGCCCCTGAGCTTCCCTGATCCTAGCCCTGCCTCTTCCTTCTTAAAGAGACAACTCTGGCCTAGACTTCTGTCATCATAGCCTTGACCACTCTGAGCTGTCTCTGTTTGTGGTTATATCTGACCTAGCAGCTCTGTGAGAATCGGGACACACACTGTGCCCCCAGTATCAGCACAGGTCTGGCCCAGAGGAAGTGACCAATGAGTTGGCTAACTGAATAAGCATTTTTGGCTGGGCATGGTGGTGCCCAGGATGCAGAATGAGGAAGGTCAATGCAAGTTCAAAGCCAGCTTGGTCTATAGAGGCAGTATCAGACCAGACTGGCTATGGAGTGACACCCTCTCAAAACACCAAAAAAGTTTCTTAAAGACCCCAGGGAACTAAACAGAGCTGTGGTCACTCAGTATTCAGAAAGCCACTTACCAGGCAGAGCTCCAGCTGGTCACAGAGGGCATAGAACTCCTCCAGACACTTGTCAAAGCGCTGTATGGGTCCATCGCTGCTCTTTCTACAGCCAGGGAAAAAAGGCTAACTGAAGAACTGATTGCCAGTCTCTGGGACACCAGCATGAGTGGGTAACCAAGCAAGCAAGTATTCATAAAGAAATCAATCCTATGTCTAGGTGAGCCAGATAGGGCTTGAAAAGGAGGGGGCGGGGCGGAGGGGGAGGAACTTCTAAGGTTGGGGTGGGAAGAGAGGTTTCACTTACTGCCCATTATCAATGTTCGTGTTCTGAATCAAGTTCTGGGCTGCAACCTTCATCAGAGTCTAGTTTTAAAAGAATGAGAAAGAGGAGATGAAGACGCACAAGGAAAGGTTTACATTCCTCCTTGAGATTCACCCAACCACAGGCCTTTTCTTCAGTTGACGGCTCCCTCCTGATTTCCATGCCCATACCAATTTCTGCCCGTATTTTCCCAGAGAACTGCCCTCACCCGGGTTCTCACCTGGTCTTAGCCTCCTCCCACGGGCAGAAACTGCGGATTAGAGCCAGTCCTTTTAACAGGATTTATGGACTAGAGCCGCTTCTCCCCTTAAATCCCCTACCAGCTAATCCCAGTCTCAAAATCCACTGTCAATCCTCAGAATCTTTTTTTTTTTTTGAGACAGGGTTTCAAATGTAACCCTGGCTGGCCTTGAGCTCACAGAGATCCGCCTGCCTCTGTCTCTCCAGGCGTCCGCTACCAAGCCCGTCCGCTACCAGCGAAGCGCTGGCCTCAGAACGAGTCTTACTCCTCGTCCTTGCTTACGATCTCTCCTCCAATAAACAGCCCTCAGCGCGCCTCCTCAGAGCCAGACCGCCGAAGCACGCTCGCTTCTGGCCGCGCGCGCTCCATCACCTGGAGACTCTCCTTCAGCTGCGGGATGAGCATCTTATAGCGCTGCACAGGATCGAAGTCCTGCTGCTGTTGCTGCAGGAGCCCGCTCTGCGCAGGTCCCACCAGTTGCGTAGGCTGCGACTGTTGCTGGGGACCCGGGCCACCCGCGGATCCCGGGCCCGACACGCCAGCAGCTGAGGTAGCCGCCGAAGCCTGCTGCTGGGACGCCGCCATCTTCCTTGGCTAGAGCGACGGAAGTACGCCGCAAGCGCGTCTTCCGTTGGCAAGCCGCAATTGCTGCTTAGCTCCACCTTCCAATATCTTATCCAATGAGAGGAGAGGATGTGCGTTACCGTCCAGCCACCTCAAATCCGAGGCCAGGGCTGGGGTATCTTTCCACCAATCACAAGAGGGCTTCCCACCCCCGTCCCGCCTTCTCGACCACAGCTCGCCAATCGGTGTGAGGGTCTGACCCGCACTCTAGTTGCCCGAAGGCCTCGCGGCCTGAGGAGACCTGTTTGATCTTCAGCCAGCGTCTGGGCGGCAGTTGACTGAGCGGAGCTGCGGGTCCGTGTCCGGCGCGGTCGCGCGTTTACCTCAGTCTCGGCCGAGCCCTTCCGGCCGGCCCACCTCAGCACAGCCCTTCCCCGCGGAGCCCAGCCCCTGAGCAGGCTTCTACTGAAGTCGGCACGCCCCTCCGCGTCGGGCCGCGGCGCCGCGAGGACGCCGTCCCCGCCGCCTCACCGCGATGGCGCCCACCATCCAGACCCAGGCCCAGCGGGAGGATGGCCACAGGTAGGCGCCTCGCCACCTGCCATTTTTCTTCCCGCTCTCTGTAGGAGCTTCTGCAAGCCAGGGAGTAGGCCGAGGGTGGCCGCCGTCGCTGTCGCTGGGCCTCCCAGGTCTGCCCGTGACGTCGGCAGCGCCCACCTCCGACGAACGGGGCGGGCTCCTGGGACGCGGGGTCGTTCCCTAGTCGCCTGCCACCGGGTTCGGAATTGAGCCTTTGGAGATGGTCGGGAAGGGACCTAGTCCTTGACTTCCTCCGGTGCTTCCGTCAAACCCTCTCCATCGATGTCTCTCTCTCTCCTACCAGGCCTAATTCCCACCGGACTTTGCCTGAGAGGTGAGCCGGTGCTCCGTCCAGGAGGGGTGGTGCACGGGCGTTCGGGCCACGGGGGTGCAGAGCCTGTGCACCGCGGCGCGGCCGGTGCAGAGGCCGCAGATTGCATGTTGAAGTCGGGGACAGGCTGCTGGAGTCCGCTCTCTCCTTCCTCTGTGTGGGTCTGGGGGATCAAACGCAGCTCATCAGACCTGGTAACAGGTGCCTTTGCCCACTGGAGTATTTTGCTGGCCTAAAGCCGTTTAAAATTTTTCTTTTAACTTTAAAAAAAATTTAAAAAAATATTGTATTTATTTTTATTTTACGTGTATGAGTCTATTGCCTGCGTGCAGGTTAAGTGCACCTGTGTCGTGCAATGCCCCCGGCGATAGAAGAGGCTGTCGGATCCCCTGGAACTGTAGTTATGGACAGTTGTTAGCTGCCATGTGGGTGCTGGGATTTGAACCCAGGTCTTCTGCAAGAACAACCAGTGTTCTTCACCCATGAACCACCTCTCCAGCTCATATTTTTTTGATATGCGAGTGCTTTGCCTACATGTATGTAAGCACATCTGTGTTGTGCAATGCCCACAGAAGCCAGAGGGCATCGGATACCCTGGTACTGGGGTTATGATTGCTTGGGAGATAACTATGCTGAGCCATCTCTCCAGCCCTGAGACCTAGTTTTGAGCCACTGTTTTCCCAGGTCTGGAGTGGTCTGCCGAGTCAAGTACTGCAATAGCCTCCCTGATATCCCATTTGACCCCAAGTTCATCACCTACCCCTTTGATCAGAACAGGTAAGGCTAACCTCAGGGATGGAGCAATTGCTAAGAAATATTCACTGAAGGACTGCTTACCTCATTGCGTGCTCCTCCCCCAGGCCTTGTACAATACCTACAATAGCTCATAAAGGTGCTGAGTAAATACTAAGAGAGCAAGCAGCATCCAAACCCCTTCCCACTGGGAAGACTTCAGCCCTGGGGACATTGCATTCTGAGTTTTTCCCCACAGCAGCTTAGCTTCTGGGGAGGATGAGGGTTGGGGCTGGATCAGAAAATGACAACAGGGATGTTTCTCCACCCAGGTTTGTTCAGTATAAAGCAACATCCTTGGAGAAACAGCACAAACATGACCTCCTGACTGAGCCAGACTTGGGGGTCACCATCGACCTCATCAACCCTGACACCTACCGCATCGATCCCAATGGTGTGTGGGGAGATAGGGAGGGTCTGCCGTAGGCCAGCAAAGGCCAGGCCTGGGCCTCCCTCATGGTCCTCCTGCCCCTCCATCCCTAGTTCTCCTGGATCCAGCTGATGAGAAGCTTTTGGAAGAAGAGATTCAGGCCCCCACCAGCTCTAAGAGGTGAGAAGATACACACGAGTACTGAGGTAAACTCTTCAAGCATGGGGTCCTGAGATGCCTAGTCTGTTTCAGATCCCAGCAGCACGCAAAGGTGGTGCCGTGGATGCGGAAGACAGAGTACATCTCCACTGAGTTTAACCGCTATGGTATCTCCAATGAGAAACCTGAGGTCAAGTAAGTAGCAGAGAGGTGTGTGTGTATGTATATAGGACTTCAGAAACGTCCAGTGACCCCTAAAGACTCTTGTTTCCTCCTAGGATTGGGGTTTCTGTAAAGCAGCAGTTCACAGAGGAAGAAATATACAAAGACAGGGACAGCCAGATCACAGCCATTGAGAAGACTTTTGAGGATGCCCAGAAATCGGTACTTAGGGGACTGGGATGGAGAGACACAATGGTGTGACCTGGGCTCTTCCTCCTCCTCACCCTTTTTGCTCCACCAGATCTCCCAGCATTACAGCAAGCCCCGAGTGACACCAGTGGAGGTCATGCCTGTCTTCCCAGACTTTAAGGTCAGGCTCAGGGTAGGAGGCAAGAGCAGCTTCCTATGCCTGTCCAGGGTCCAGACTGATCCCAGTACCTTCCACTTCCTAGATGTGGATCAACCCATGTGCTCAGGTCATTTTTGATTCAGACCCAGCCCCGAAGGACACAAGTGGGGCAGCTGCATTGGAGATGATGTCTCAGGCCATGATCAGGTCAGTGGTCCTGCCACCTACCTTGACCTGCTAATCCCTCCACCCATCACCGTCACCACCACCACTACCTTGGTGTTTTTGAGATTGGGTATCATCCTGTAGCCCAGTCTAACCTCTGAACTCCTGGCAATCTTCCTGCCTCATACCTATCACACCTACTGACTATCTCTCTTCTCCTAACTAGGGGCATGATGGATGAGGAAGGGAACCAATTTGTAGCTTATTTTCTGCCTGTGGAAGAGACACTGAAGAAACGAAAGCGGGACCAGGAGGAGGAGATGGACTATGCACCAGATGACGTGTGCGTGGGTTGGGGTTAAGTCTTGGGGACTGAAATGTTGTGTCCTTTTCTCAAGGATAAATGAGCTGACCCTGCACTTCATCCTCAGGTATGACTACAAGATTGCTCGGGAATATAACTGGAATGTGAAGAATAAGGCTAGCAAGGGCTATGAGGAGAACTACTTTTTCATCTTCCGAGAGGGTGACGGGGTTTACTACAATGAGCTGGAGACCAGGTACTCAGCACTGCCTCATTCATCACCTGTGCTTCTCAAGACTGTGCATGCAAGAGCCACCCTGGAGGTCTTACGTATTTGTGAGAGCAGCAGGAGTCTGCTTATGCATATTGGCTGGTCCTAATCTAAATCTGAAGGAAAATCTTCATTAATGCAGGGCACAAACCCAGTGTTCTTTCTCCTGATATTAGTACAAAATTTCACGGGCAAGTAAATAGTCAAAGTAGAAGGTGACACACAAAACTACATGAGGCATTTTGTTTTGCAGTGCTGGGGAGGAACCCATGGCCTTGTGCAGGCCAAGCCAAGTACGCTTACTCTACTATTGAGCTACACCCCCTCATCCTAATATGGTTTTTTGGGTGTGTGTTGTACGTGTACATGCCTGTGGAGGCCAGATGTTGATGTCAGGTGTCTTGTCTATTGGTTTCTGTGTGTATGTGCATGCCACATGGAGGTCAGAGAACTGAGGGGTAAGGGGGAACGGTTTGTTTTCCCCTTCCACCATGGGGTGTCAGGGATCAAATTCAGGTCCTCAGTCTTGGTGGCAGACACCTTTACCTGCTAAGCCATCTGGCCAGCCTTATGTCCATCTTATTTTTTGAGATAGGGTCTTCCTTTAGCCCCAGCTGGCCTGAACTCACTATGTAGATCAGGCTGGCCTCAACTTCAGAGATGGCCTGCTTCTGCCTCCTGAGTGCTGGGGTTAAAGGTAAGTGTATTGACTGCATATAGTGTACCAGTGTCATGCAATGCCCATGGAGGTCAGAAGAGGGTGTCAGATCCCCCGAATACCAGTTACAAATGATTGTTTTAGGGATGGTTGTTAGCAGTCAATGCTCTCTTAACTGAGTCATTTCTCTAACCTCTAAGACAGTTTCTTACTGAACTTGGAGCTAGGTTGGCTGTCAGTGAGCTCCAGGTATGCCTGTCTCTGTTCTCTCCCCCCAGAGCTGGGGTTATAGATGTGCTTCAGCAGGCCTGGGCTTTACAAATACAGATCCTCATGCTTTCATGGCAGACACTTTACCAATTGAGCTCTTTCTTCAACCCCCCAACACGTTAAAGGTAACATTTGACAATTCAGAAAAAGAGACTTTTAAGTCTCTCCCTGTGATTGAAAGTTAACTTGTCATAGTACTCCTAGGGCTGAGAACTGGGAAAGTAAGACTTGAGTTTCTGCTAACAGATCCCAAGTTCTGATCCCACAGTCTGACTGGAAACATGAAAGAAAGGCCTCTAGGTAACAATAACAAGAGTAGCATCACATTCCATTTTCAGTCCACTGTTGCTGTTGTTCCTGTTCAAAAGCCAGATACTCAGATTTGCCATTTTCCAGGTTTTTTTTTTTTTTTTTTTTTTTTGAGACAGGGTCTCCTTGTAGCCCCAGCTGTCCTAGAACTCACTATGTAAACCAGTCTGGCCTTGAACTCAGAGATCCACCTGCCTCTGCCTCCCGAGTGCTGGGATTAAAGGTGTGCACCACCATGCCTGGCCTCATTTCCCAGTTTTTAAGTGTTGGGTAACTCACATCACACAGGCATAAATATCCCATATATATCATCTCTCTCATCCACTGCATATAAAATCCTTCCCTGGTGTGCGCTGGGTCAAACATTGATGGGGAACCAAGTGTCAGGTGAGATTGGGCCCTGATAATCTTTGACCAAATCTTTCCCCTTCTACAAATGCCCACTGCAGAGTCCGCCTTAGTAAGCGCCGGGCCAAGGCTGGGGTTCAGTCAGGTACCAATGCCTTGCTTGTGGTCAAACACCGGGACATGAACGAGAAGGAATTAGAAGCCCAGGTAACAAACTCTTCTGGTCCAGGATACCTACAGGGAGGGTAGTAGCGAGCACAGGGACAGAGGTCTGACAGAACACCTATCCTTTCCCAATGTGCTAGGAAGCACGGAAGGCTCAGCTGGAAAACCACGAACCAGAGGAAGAAGAGGAGGAGGAAATGGAGGCCGAAGAGAAAGAAGGCGGGGGCTCAGGTAAATAGGGACTGGTCACACCCTACGAGTGTGGGGAGTGTGGGTAACAGGGTCTCACCTGTCCCTGCTTCCTCACAGATGAGGAGCAGGAGAAAGGCAGCAGCAGTGAGAAGGAGGGCAGTGAGGACGAGCGTTCTGGCAGTGAGAGTGAACGGGAAGAGGGTGACAGGGACGAGACAAGTGACAAAAGTGGCAGTGGCGAAGATGAGAGCAGTGAAGATGAAGCCCGCGCTGCTCGGGACAAAGAGGAGATCTTCGGTAGTGATGCTGATTCAGAAGATGATGCCGACTCTGATGATGAAGACAGAGGGCAGGCCCACGGGGGCAGTGACAACGACTCAGACAGTGGCAGCGATGGGGGTGGCCAGCGGAGCCGCAGCCAGAGCAGGAGCCGCAGCGCCAGCCCCTTCCCCAGTGGCAGTGAGCACTCTGCCCAGGAGGACGGCAGTGAGGCTGCAGCCTCCGACTCCAGTGAGGCTGACAGTGATAGTGACTGAACCCCAGAGCTGGCCGCAGAAGCCAGCACAGAAACCATTCTTAGAGCAGGAAGGCACTTTTCTAGTGGTCCGCCTGGTTGCGCCCCCTACCCCTCAACCTTTGCTGTTAATAAAGGCCACCTCCTTTGACTTGCTCTGATCTTCACCCAACCCATCCCTCCCCCAGGTCCTCAAGGACCTTCACTTGAGGCACAGAAGCAATGCCCCTGGGTTTCACAGGAAATGCAGAATAACAAAGATCAGAATCTCTTTTTTTTTTTTTTTTTCCAAAATAAGCCCAGACCATTAAACAATTGAAACTCCAACAAATAAGTCTTCTCCAACAGCGAGAAAAATGTACAGTTACTCAAAGCTGATTCTGCCAGTGGGGCTGGGGACAGAAGTGGGTGGGGAGGGAAACCATGGAGGGGCCTGGGGAGCTGGGAGGGTCAGGGTCCTGCCTGTCAGAGTGCGGCCGCCTGCGTCCTACACTCTGCTGTCAGGTGGGGGGTAGCTCTCACCTCCCTCTGGGGGAAGGTATCCCTCACCACCTTCCAGTGCCAGGCAGGGTCAGTCACCCTGATGGGGAGTGAACAAGACAAGACTGGACCGGCTGGGGGAGGTGAGGGTCCTGTGAGAGGGACATCCTGCTTTATTCCAAACAGGTGGCTGTTCACCCCGCTTCCCACGGCTACTGGGAGGGGCTGGAGAAGCCCGGGAGCTTGAGGGGAATGAGCAAAGGCACAGAAACCTGGAGGGCCGGGGTGGGGACTTGCATAGGTTGATGAGTGTGCAAGAGGTACATAAATACACCTGACACCCCGCCCAGCCCGGCACTGGGAGGAGGTGGGGACCAGATGCAGGTCCCCAGGGCCACTCTACCCCCTGGGTTCTCCCTCGCTGGGCTCAGAGCAGGGGAGGGACCAGGAGGCAGGGGCAAGGTCTAGGGGATGGGCTGACAGTGCAGGGAGGACTGTGGTTTTCAATTTTTTTTTTTTCCCCAACATTTTGTATCTTTAATAACATACACAATGGTTACCAGCCATATTCATAACAAAAGTTATTCATAAAATGTATCTAAAAATAACATTTTTTTTCCTTTTCGGTGTGAAAAGCTTGAGAATGTCCCAATGAGGGGGGCAAAAGGGGTTGGAATAGGGGAACCATGGCTTCCCCACAATCTGAACCCCCAAATCCCCTCCCTCCACCTGGGCCCCAGCACCAGCCCTCATCAATAACAAGGGAGCAAAGGGTTTGTATGACTCGGGCCAGGCTGCACCTCTGGGTTATGATATAGTGTTCCACTTACATGAGGTCATGACATAACAGGGGGGCGGGGGGGGGTAGGAGAGGTTGAAAGAAAGAGGGGTGGGAAAAAAACCAAAAACCGAACAATCCCCTTTCTTGGGTTCCTACCCCCAAGTCTATCACCAACAGACCTGAGGATTGAGAAGGGTGTATCAGTGGAGGAAGGGGACATTAAGGCAACAGACTTCCTGACCTCACCGCTGTCCAGGCTGCCCACCTTCAACCTCTGCATCTGGGGGCTGGGATTGGGGAAGGGCAAGGGGGACTGGAGGAGGGGGCTCTGCCCTCTCCCCTCAAAGTTCAGGCTCCCCCTGCCACTGTCCTGGCTCAGAGAAAGGCCTGGGGACTCTAAAAATGACAGGGAATGATCAGAGAAAAACCGTTAAGAACTATATAAATATGTATCTTAAATAGGCCTAAGAAATTAATTTTAGAGAACCTCTGATAAACAGGGCAAGAGGGGAGGAAGATGGCGCCTGTCCCAGGGAATGGCAGAATGGGGAAGAGTAGGGGCAGGGGAGAGGGCTCCTCTCCAGTGACATAGTGGCGAGCAGGCTGTCCACACTGCTCATTCCCCCATTGTCATGTTTCTGAGCAGGCTGCACAAGGTTTGTCTCTAGGGGTCTGCTCCCTCAGAGAGGGACAGGTGTCAGCAGTCTGGAAGAGGCAGGGGTGGGATGGGGCCAGTGGGGGATTTGGGAGGGAAGGGGCAGGCAGTCTGGTTGGTCCTTGCCCCCTTTATCCTGGCTGCCCCCTCTATTCCCTGGCCTCAGCCGAGATCCCTCAACGGGCCTAGGAGTGAGCAAGGCATGTGCCAATGTTAAACAAAAGTTAAAAGGATGAGAGAGTAGAAAAATACTAGAATGTATAGCTGTGCCAGCCCACCCTTTTGCTGCCGAGGAGAAGCCCGTTGGGGGATGGCCCCGCCCGCCGCCCGGGGAGCCTATGGGTGCGCTGGGCTGTGGGTCCCGTCAGATGGTGGAGGTTTTGTCTGTCCCATCTGTGGTAAGAAAGGGAGGAAGGGAGGAGGATCAGGAACTGGGGGGAGGGCGGAGGAAAGGCACTCACGTAGCCAGTCATCCCAGACGGGCCCTCCCTGGAGTCTGGCCTCCCCTTAGGACCCTCAGGATGGCTCCGAGTTGCTCGGTTGAGAGGTGGAGATGCTGGGTAGGTGGGAGCTGGGTCAGGGAAAGAGAAAATGCTCACCACCTAAGGCGTGTTCTGTCATGCTCAGACACAGAGACTCCAGGGTGGGATTGATCTCCAGGTCAGGCCCAGGAACCGGGCAGTCTGGGGAGGAGAGAGGAAAATGGTGGTAGTAAGGGAAGGCTAACCAGAATGGGCAGAGGAGAGGGCCAGGAAGCAGAAGCAGCATGAACAGGGGCCAAGAGATAAGACAGCTCAGAAGACATGTATACAAATGGGTGGAGGACACAGCTGGGCAGAGACAAGGATAGGCCTGGTGTGTCACAAAGCAGGCAGGGAGACAACAGCCAAAGCAGGGGTTTGGCAACGTGGAAAAAGCCAGACTTGCAGACAGGAAGCAATGTGAAGCTGAGGGAGCATTCCTGGAGACCACACACAGGCTGTGACTCTTTTGGGGACTCCAAGCTGCCTGGGGCAGTCTGGGCACCTGCCCCAGACACTGGGCAGCCCCAGGCTGATTGATGGCCTGCCCCCTGTGCTTGGTGCAAAAGCTCAGCTGAGGTCCTTCCTGTGCTCACTTGGGCCCACCTGGCCTCCTCTGAACAGGATGCAATCCAGGTAGGCTGAGCAAGGTAGAACAGCAGCTGTGGGGCCTGCTCTCAAAGCACTTCTCAAGAGAGCCTATTTGGCATCTGGGAGAGAGCCCACCTTCCTGGGCAGACCTTGCCTCTACCTCATACTGCCAAGCATCCTGCCTCAGCTGGAAGCAGGGGGACACCCGAGCTTCCAACTGGACTCCCAGGACCTGGCTCCTACTTTGAGCTTTTCACCCTGACATTCTAAACCGTGAGCTCAAGTCTTGGCAGACCCCCATTTCTCCTGAAAACAAGCTTTGAAATTGAACAAGTCAACATTTTGTATAAAAGCAGCTACTGGTGAGAACCTCAGCGCCCTCTTGTAAGCGGCTGAGGGATTCCACTGTACAGTGCAGGAAGGCTGCCTCACAGTCAGGCACACAGAACGGTTCCCCACCTTTGGCTTCCAGAATGCACCCATCTGCTCACTTTACAACCTACATTTACACATATATGCCCACTGTGTGCCAAGCCTTGTCCTAGAATGAACACTAGAGATGGAGACCCCTGGCTCCACATATGGCAATCCACACTAATAAATTCAGAATCTCCACTGACTGGGAGGTTTCTGACAAGAGCTTAGGGTCACCTGCAAATCTAAAACCTCTCCAGGGCAACCCACTGAAAGTCAGTCTTCCTTCAGAGATGCCATGCCTAGCCCAGCATGCAAGCAATGGGCCCAGTCAAGACAAATGAGCTACTCTCCCTTGTCCAGTGAAGCAGGAACCCATGGCTAGCATATCTCTGACCTGCCACCTGTCCAACTTGGCCCTCCTGACCTCTGACCTCCAGGTTGTCTGTGAGCAGAGGTGAAAGAGCCTCCCACCTTTCACCACCCTTTACAATACATCAGTCTCAGTGGCCTCTGACAGAAGCAGGTGGGCTGACGGGCTACACTCCCCTCCACAGAACCCTCATCCTGATCATGCATATTCATTTATAGCAAGCCTATAAAGAGACGGTGACAGATCAACATGCACAGCACTGCATAGGGAGGCAAAGACACACACAGGCAGCAGAAGATAAGATGCTACACATCGAGAAGGAAGAGTGTATGTGAGACCCAGGTGAGGAAAGGTCAACTGAGGAGGTTGATCCGGCCGAATGCCTTACCTGGAGGGAACATGAGAATGGCCTGGGGTGACGAATGGACCGGGAGCGAGTGGGTGCGCTGCACGGAGCTGCGGCTCTGGCTGGGCATGCTGTTGCTGCCTCCAGGGTTGGCAAACCACAGGTTCTGCAGAGGACATGGGGAGAAAGTGAGGGCATAAATGGGAGAGGCCCAGGCCTAGAAACACAGACACATCCCAGTGCTGCCACCCCCAATCCCAGAAGCACTTGGACTTCTGCCTCCAGCCAGCTTACCTGTCGGCCCTGGCCCCCAAGGCTGGGGCTGGTGAGGGCATGTCGAGGGGAAACTCCCCCAATGCCTGAAGGGCTCAGGAGGCCCATCCTGCCAGGTGGGAGGGCCCGAGGAGGCATTGGGAACTGCCGCTGGGTTCGCCTGGCCACCCCCATCCCCACAGAGCCAGCTATGGGGAGCGAATTGGAGCCGAATGCCCAGCTGTGTAAAAATAGGCAGGGTGTTAGCATAGGTGGAGGGCTCTATCTTCCCTTACAACTCCAGCATGTAGAATTCCCTGACCATGTCCCTGGGACCTTTTTTTACATCTTGTCTCCTCCTGACCAAGGGTGCCCATCCCCAGGATGATATGGGGAGTATAGAGAAGTTTCCTATTGTTCTTTTCAAAGTAGTTCTCTGAATGCTACTTCTCAAGGGAGAGGTGTGTTGTTTGGTGTGAGAAGCGACCTCAGAGCCTTCTACATACTGGTGGGGAGACACCTGGACACATGCTGTTTCTTTGCTACCTCAGCACCTGTTTCCTTTTCTTGTAATGTTGGGGAGAGAATCCAGGGCCTTATGGTGCTAGGAAGGCTCTCTGCACTTTTTTTTTTTTTTGAGTTCCCAGCTGGCCTGGAACTCACTTTGTAGACCAGGCTGGCCTTCAACTCACAGAGATCCTCCTGCCTCTGCCTCCCAAGTGCTGGGACTAAAGGTGTGTGCCACCATGCCTGGCTGGCTCTCTGCACTCTTATGTCCCAGCCCTATACCTACTGTACTGCTATCAACTGTTAGATCAGTCTTTCTAGTTGCCTTCCTCTCTCTTCCAGAAATCAGGCCACATACCTTGCAGCTCACTCTCTCCCTACTCCCTCCCATGGCCATGATGCTCCCTCACCTAATGAAGCCTACACTCCCCCTTCGGGGTCCCATCTCTTAATAAAGTTCTCCTGGAGAGTAATCTCAGGTCAGCTTCTTTTCATCAATCTTTTCCTCCTTTAAGTTTTAACAACACCCTGATTTTCTTTCTAGGGGGCCAAACCCAGAACACAACCAGCCCTTTAGACACCTATGTGCCAGCCCTGCAGTGCTAAGGAGGGTGCCCACCTACCCCTTCTGTTGCCGGTAGTTCTGCACGTCCAGAGCAGCCTTGCGTGGAAATGTCCGGAGAAGCTTCAGCACTTGCTGCTTCCAGGACAGCAGCCGCTTCTTCTGCGTCTCTGTGAAAGCCTGGAATGGAGGGAGCGGGAGGGCACTTGGTTCACACCTGCCTTCCCCTGCTCACCTGCTCTGTGCTGGAAGGTGATGGACACAGAGGGCTACGCTCACAGGTTAGCTGGGGGACACAGATGCAGTGGTAACTAAGTGTGGTCATCTATCCTTGTGAAGGTGAAGAACAAGAGGCAAGGAACCCTGAACCTGCAGGAGTGTTTGGTGAAGGGACACTGGGGAACTTGTACAAGCACTGAGACTGAGAGCAGAGACGAGCACGAGGAGGGGCCATTCTCCATAGGAGTTGTACGAGAGCTCTGAGAAGCCTCTGAAGCCTACACTGCAGTGTGGGCCCTCAAAGAGGTAGAGCAGCCTTTTACCCTCTTGGAACCCCTAACAAAGTCCTTACCTCGTGAGTCAGGCACTTTTCGATGAGCTGGAGGTAACTGGTGATATTCTCCTCATCTGGTCGGGACACCAGCAGCTGGGTGCACACTGAGGAACATGAGAAAGGGCAGGAGCTTAGACACCGCCCCACCCCCAACATGCCCTCAGCTCTCAGGCTGGATAAGTTCCAACACCTGAGCTTTGAAGGCAAGGGTTGTCACCATCATCCCACACAGGCCTGTAGGGAGAGATCTGGTCATCCCCAGTCTCAGCTTCTTTGCAGGCTCTGCACTAGGGGGCTTTAAGAAGTGTTGTCCCTTGTCTAATTTGGACTTGATCCCTGGTGCCTAGGTTCACCTAGTGTCTGCCTCAGGATTCTGGGCTTGGTTTGGGCTGCTCTTACCTTTGCCCATCACCCGTGTAAACTGGCTGGGGATGTCGCCATCGGCAACAGGAGCTGGGGCTGGCTCGCTGCTATCAGAGGGAGCTGGAACTGGTGGAGGAGGATAGTTCTCTGCAGCCGGAGGGTCCTTGGCCTCAGTGCCCTTGTCTGTTCCAGGGTGGGTGAGGGGTGGCTCAGCACCTGGCAGCAGTGGCTCCCCCCGACCCCCATCCTTGGCAGTAGGGGTGGTGGCAGCAGCAGCCACAGTGGCCTGAAGGACACTGTAGGCTTTGATGGGGGTGATGATGATCTGCTGCAGCTCTTGCAGAGCATTCCGCAGATTCCCGCCTTCCAGCACATCCTGCAAGAAGGACGTGGTCAGGGCATGTAGAATAGCCACAGAAGTGTGGTCAGATGAGGCTCAGAGACTACATGGTATACAAGGTTCCAGCACATGCAGGGGACAGCTAAGGGCACTTCTAGTCCACTCTTGACTGGTACACACCATGCACACACTCTCTTCCTCTCCAAGGAAGAAGCAGAGATCCAGACTAAGACACAGGGAGAAGAAACAACCAGAAGGAAGCAGCAAGAAAAGGGGAAGAGAAAGGTAAACAGGAAGACACAGGAGAATGAGTGGGTAAGTCTAATGGAAAGACCTGTTGCCCCTGCCCAAACCCCCAGAGACCCATCAGATATACTGCTGAGAAAGATGGGGCTATTCTAGAATCACAAACCAGGACAGGCAGGGAGGAAGCCTTTCAGTCAATAGCAAGTAAACTCTTTGATGCCAACTTGCTCAAGGTCCCTGGAATCTGGCTCCCAGGCCTGGGGCCACCAGGGGTCAGATCTGAAGAGTGAGGAGGCCTAAGCAGCTGCCAACAGAGCTGACCCAAAGCCTTCCACCTGCCAGTACCACTGGGCAGTCAGTCAGCCTTGGAGATGAGGATACCAGGTCCTCACCTTCTCTAGGGACTTGAGGACACTCTGCCTCTCGCGCAGCTTCTGGATGCTCAGGGCTATCTTGTGGCGGGCACCTTTGGTGACATTCTGTGGTAAGGACAGAAGATGGAAAGCTGGGAATAGAGGGTGACATATACAGGGGCATCCCAAGAGGGACCAGAGACAGAGGACACTTGGTGGTAGGAGCAGCACCCAATGGTCCTGGCCCTATACCTCCCCAATGGATCCTTTGCCTTCACCTGTGACTCCAGGTGTTGCTCAGTCAGGGTCATCATTTCCTCATAGCTCATCTGTGAGAACAGAGCAGCATACTTGTGTAAGCGCAGACTCTTGAGCCACGAGGGCACATCTGTAGAAAAGGAGGGTAAAAGGTCAGGAGTTGGACCCTGTGACCACAGGGAGGGATGCAGAGAGGGACTGGGCATAAGCCACAGGCAGCCTTAGACATTGCAGTGAATTGGAAGGGGATGAGACCAGAAGCTGCCTCTACCTGTCTAGCTACCTGTCTAGCAAGGACCTCTCAAGTGGCCTACCCCAGGCAGGACACCTGACCCTCCAAGCCACCAGGATGGCCTTGCTGATTTGTCCAGTCTGTCAGTTACCTGAGCCCTGGCTGGCCTTCTCAGCCTGGAGTATGTGAAGGCAGGGGCTATCTACTGCTCTCAGACCTGTCCCCTCCTCAGGTCACAGCTACCAGCAACTTTCTGTCCTCCCACTCTGGTAAGGCCCTGAAGAAGGCTCCTGGTATGGCCCTCCAGATGCACCTTTCATCCCGCTGCCATCCTCCTGGAAAGTGTTGCGGCTGGAGCCCTGCTCCTCCGTCTGCTCACTGCCAGAGGAGGCCACACTGCTCTGCGGCGAAAGGGGTGCGTGGTCGGCCGTGGTGAAAGCAGCCCGGGCCCCAAGCTCCTCTGGACTCGGCCACTCACCAGGGGCCTGGGGGCTTGTAGGGATGAGTGACATGGAGCGCTTCAGTGGGCTAGGGTGGATTTGGCAGGGGAGACCTGGCCAGAGAGGGAAAAGTAAGAGGTCAGGCTAGGGGATCTGAGCATAAGAGAGACCATGGTCCATTCTACCCCATAATTCTCCAGGGGGAAGGAACCAAGGGGAAATGCCTACAGGTACTCCTAAGCCCCCACACCCTAACTCCCCAGCATGCTGCTAATCGCTTCTCTGAACTGCCCCGTTCCTGTGCTCACACTGAAGGCAAGCAAGCTCTGGCTCGAATGACTGCTATGCCTCCTAACTGGCTTCTTCCCTTTATTCTTGTTTCCTACAGTCCCTTCCCTTTACAGCAGCCATGCTGATGGTTTTGAGGGGTGGAGAGCTTCTTATTTTATTTTTTTCCGTTTTTTTTTTGAGACAGGGTCTCCTGAAGCTCCAGGTGGCCTAGAACTCACTATGTAGACTAGGTTGGTCTCAAACTCACAGAGATCCGCCTGACTCTGCCTCCTGAGTGATGGAACTAAAGGCATGCGCCACCACGCCCAGTGGAGAGCTTTTTTGAGATAGGTTCTCACTTTGTAGCCAGGCTCAAATTAAGAAAATGAAGTTACTTTGGCTATTACAATTTGGGGGGCTCCATTTGGGGCCATTAGCTCTAATTCAGTGATCCTTGAGTGTTGGGAATACAGGTGTATGTCACCTCACCCTGACCAAGTGCTGCCTGCTTAGATCCAGGTGGCTTCTTTCAAGCTGACAACAAAATCCAAACTCTTCCACACACCTAATGGGTCAGGCAGGACTTAGTCCCTGGTCACCTCTTACCTCTCTTCCCACAGTCCAGCCCTTGGGTCAGGCTTTTCTAGCCCTCAATTCTCCTGGATTCTACCTGCTCCTCTTTTGAGGGCCTCTCAAAGCTTTCTCCTGCCTCTGTCTCTTGAGTGCTGGGACAGACGTGCTACCACCCTGGTTCTGAACCTCTAGTTGCTCCTGGGGCACTCAAGCCTTGCACCAAGACACTTAGGTACTTGCTCTTTCCTGTCTTTTATTTCCTTTTCTCTTTTTGTGGTACTGACAGAACCCAGGCCACCTGCATGCTAGATAAGCGCTCTGCCACTAAGCACCCCCACCCATTCCTTCTTGGCGCCTCAATCTTAGCAGCTGGCCATCTCAAGCTGCACCTCAAATGTCCCCTCCTGAAGCTGACACTGAACCTTCCATCTTGTTGCTGCTTCCCAATCCTCAACCCCAGCTACTCTCCCATCTTTCTTTCAACACCTATCACAACCTGAAATTACCTTGTGTGGTTGTTTACTTGCTCATTAACCGCCCCCCTTTGCTGGAAGCAGACCTATCCTGCCCACATCACAGCCTCAGCAATCACAGCGGGGCCCAGCCAGGCAGCTGCTTCATTAACACTCACAAATGAACCAAGTGAAGTATCCTGATTTTTTAAACTGGGGGTGGGGAGTTGGGGGGGCAGGGGATGGAGGGAAAAGGGGATGGGATTACTGGGCTTGAGAAAAGGTCTTGCTGTAACCCAAGCTGACCTGAAGCTCATTAGGCAGCCCAGGTTGACCTCAAATTCATGATTCTCTTGCCTCAGCACATGAGTGCTAGGATTATAGGCATGTACCACCACACCTGGCTAATCAACTGCTTCTTTAGTTAGTATCCCTGTTATTTGGCCTCACATCTGTTTATTATCTCCCCCCACCTCCCGACTGAACCCAAATTGGCCAGTTAAGAGGCCTGGCAGTTGAGGGTAAGCTCTGAACTCTACTCCCCAGGGAACCTCACTCTGTCCACTCCATTTCTGAGTGAAGCAAAGGGATCCGAGTTGATTATCCAGACAAGAGAGGATCTCCTCAATATCTGGATCTTGCCTTCTCCCTCTTGCCCTATCACTGCTTCATCATCCCTTTCTGCCAGCTGCTGCCACCTCCAAGACTCACTCAAGCACCTCCTTTGTGGCTACTGCAAGCCAAGCACTTGCTGCCTGCCCTCTGTGCTAGCCAGTCTCTTGCACTGGGCTATGGGCTTATGAAGGATGCAACCTGGCCCAATCATTTCCACAGGCTCAGGTGCAGGACACAAAACACAGGAGCCCTCCAACCAAGTTTCATAAAGGACAAATGGGTGCTAAGGGGTCTTGTGAACTCAGCACAGGGAATCTTTAAGTGCCCTTGGCAGTCTAGAGGAAGAAAGCAACAAAGCCAAAAAGCCTGGTTAGGTGAGGACAGCAAGGCCCAAGAAGCTGAAATTCTTTGTCCCAGTTCCCACAGGAACAGGGCCGGGGTGGGGGGTGGGAGGTGGGGAGCATATACATATGAACAAGGGAACAAGGCCTTGTTCTGATGGTGAAACTGGGGATCCTGCCAGTGCACCAGTGACATAGACATTGTGCCCAGGAGAAGGCCACCCTGGTGCAGGCCCCAAAGCACCTTCTGCTACTATCTGTGACAATACTGATGCCCCTAGACAGGAAGTCACCCGAGAGAGGGTGGTGCACTGGCCCACCCCTCAGGCTCAGCTCTTGTCCAGTATCCTGCTGGAGGTCTCTACTCAGGGCTCCTTCCAAGTTTCTGGACTCTGTGGCTTCTGGCTCACTTGGGGCCTCCTGGAGAAAGATGGCACTCTGGGCCCCAAGGGCTGGAAAACCCTCAATACAGGCCTTTGTGCCTGTCTTGGTGTCTCTGGCCACCTCCTTCCTCCCTTCTTGGCCAAGAAGCCGGCAGATGAGGCTGAGAGAGCAGGAAATTGCCCTGATTGCAATGACCATGCAGTTCCTGAGGAGCCCTGCTTGGCCTATGCTGGGGTGGAGGCTGGCCACAGCTGAGGACTACAAAAACAGTAATGCTGGTTAGAGATCCATGGCATTACACTCTCCAAGAAACCCTGGTCTGTCCTTGGCAGCACCCCAAACCCACCCTGCCTGCCCTCCCAGGCCAATCCATGCCTCCCACTCAAAAATATCTTAATGGTTTCCTGTTTTCTGCAACTGCCTGATATCCAAAAGCTTCATCCTATTCTTCAAGGTTCCAAACTGTAGCCCTAAGAGCTGAGTTCAAATCCTAACTCGGTCACCTCTGATCTCAAGTGCTCTTGGACAGGTCCCTACTTCCATTTCCATATGGAGTCCTCAGCACAGTAATGGGTACTAATGTGCCACTGCAACCCCTCGTAAAATTACAGAACTGGGGGCTGGAAAGATGGCTTAGTGGTTAAGAGCACTGACTGCTTTTGTAGAGGACCCGGGTTCGATCCCCAGCACCCACATAGCAGCTATGAACCGTCCTTAACTCCATCTAGTTCCAGGGGCATCTGAAGCCCTCTTCCGACCTCCGCGGCATTGCACAACACAGGTGCACTCACATACATTCAGGCAATACACTCACACACACAAAAATTAAATATTTTTTAAAAATTACAGAACTGCTGCACACTGTTCACTCTTATTTGACAATGCCATGACATTCAACCATGCTGTATATAATACCCTCTGTATATATGCCCAGTCCTCTTCTTTGTTCCGTACCCCATCCAACACATCGTAAGCGTGGTCCTTCGAAGCTGTTGGGAGTGCTGGGGGTGGGGCCCAGCCCTTGTCTAGTTTGGTTGAAATCCCCAGTATTGCCAAAAGGAAGAGCAAAACCAGAAAATCGGATGAGGTTCTGAGCAGCAGAGCCGAGAACATTTGGGGTGGTCAGCGCACAGGTCACTTTTAGATGGAGGCAGTATAATACAGTACTCAGAGTCCGAGCTCCAGAGCCACACTGCCTGGTCCTTGAAATGACTCCCAGCGAAGTGCTCAGTATTTCTTAACCAGATCATTGTTAAGGTATCCTTCAAACCTGGACCAGGAAACATGGAACTCTGTAGCTGGAAAATGAGGTCTAAGATATCTGGGATTGCCAGAGTTCACTGGAAATGCCCTCCAAGCCCTCTAACTTCCCTGACTTGCTTTAGCCAGTGCCTGCTGAAGGAGGCTGACAACCAGAGGCTAAATTGGGACCACTCACTTTCTGTTACCCCATGCCAACCTCAACTGTGGCTTAAAAAGTCACACTGTCTCATTCTGTTTTAACTCAACTAACATTTCAAAAAGGCACCTTAATACCAATTCCTCCTGTTTAACCAGCCTCTGGAGCTCTGAGAACCCTTTCATGTCCAAGAGGTTGGCAGGCCAACACTGTGGTCAAAGGCAGCTCTGGCATCAGGCTGCTAAGATCTGAGCCTTGGGGCTTTAGCGCTTTGAATTCTAGTGTCCTCATCTGTCAAATGGGACTAACAATGTAACTGTGAGGACTGACTGGGATCGCATCTAAAACAGCACTGCCGAGAGCATGGGCAGCCCAGTATCACCTATGATTGCTGATGCTTCACAGCATGAGCTTTGTCTCATAGGGACAAATTTACAGATCTCTCAGAAACAATGCTGGAAGCTGAGTTAGAGATAAAAAGTCCAAGTGATCCAGAAGAAAACTCAGGTGATGGCATCCATTCACACCAGAGGTATGCAGAGGCCAGGCAGGTAGGTAACAGAAATGCTAAGATGGGCAGGCAGGTCACAGGAAGATGGGCTGGTGTGCAGGGTGCATTGTAACAGAGGGGAATCTCAGTAGCCACTAGGAATATAGGCTGTTGAGATGCCAGCTCTCTGGACTTTCCACAAGGGTCTCACTATGTAGCCCCAGCCTGAAACTTGCTATGTAGACCAAGCTGGTCTCAAACTCACAGAGATCTGCCTGCCTCTGCCTCCCAAGTGCTGGAATTAAAGGTGTGCAACACCAGGGCTGGAGAGATGGTTCAGCGGTTAAGAACACTGGCTATTCTTACAGAAGACCTGGGTTTGAATCCAGCTAACAACCGTCCGTAACTCCAGTTCCAGGGGATCCGACGCCCTCTTCTGACCTCCGTAGGCATTGTACGACACAGGAGCACTTACATATATGCAGGCAATACATGCATACACATAAAATATTGAAAAAAAAAAAAGGTGTGCAACACCATGCATGCCCAAGTGGAAATCTGATTTTTTTTTCCCTGCCTCTGTGCCACCACACCCGGCTGGAAATCTGATTTTTAATGGGAAAGTTTATATACCAATTTATTTAAAAATAAAACTAAACCTGAGTTCTTGAGACACATCTATAAGTCAGATTCAGCTCTGGGAAGGCCAGTTCACAACCTCTGCAGTGCTTCTGTTACATACCAGAGACGTGAGTGGACTTGCCAAGGACACAAAGCAAAAGAAGACAGCCTAGTCAGACCATGTTCAAATAGGTATGACCACTTTAGGAGACCCCCTCACCTGTGTTTGCGTTACTCCCAATACTGTTGATGGCGGGCGGCACTGAGCTGGATGGGTGAAAGGGCACATGTCCGTTTTCTCGGGGGGGCTTATCCTGCCAGCCTGGCCCTGCCTCTCCAGGACCTAGCTCTGCAGGTCCTCCCCACTCATCAGAGCCCTGGCGTGAGTGGTAGGAGGGCTCAGGCCGGGTGCGGAAACCACTAGCCAGCCGTTCTTCCAGGTGGCTCAGCCAGAGGGCAAGCGCGTTTCGGTCCTCCAGCGTGGTGGCTGGATGGATGAGGGCATAGGAGAGGAGCTGGCGGCTCTCCTCGATGAAGGCATTGCTCTCAATAGAGTAGGCCAGCACCTTCTGCAGCAGTCTCATGTACTCCGACTTGGCCTCCGTGTTGCCTGGCTGAAGCAGGGGCAGGTGGGATAGCAGGAGGGACACCACCTTCTCTTTGGACTCCTGCTGCCACTGGCTGACGATGGCTACAGAGGGAATAGAAGGGAGCACCAGAAGTTTGAGTGGAGACTGCCACAAAATTCGAGAGCCCATGGTCTCATCCCTCATTTCATCTCCTCTACTTTCTTCATTTATGATCCCTGATCTTGTCCTTTGTAGTACTAAGAGCAAACACATGCTCCCTGCATCTCAAGTTATTTTTCCTCGTTCTACCACGCCTATCTTCAAAAACCTACAGAGACTCCAGGTGTGGTGGCTTCATGCCTTTAATCCCTGCATTGGGAGGCAGAGGCAGGTGGATCTCTGTGAGTCTGAGACCAGTGACCAGTGTGGTCTACATAAGAGTTCCAGGTCTGCTAGGATTACACAGTAAGACGTGTCTCAAAAACAAAACAAGACAAAACCCAACAAACCTGCAGACCCCAAATCAGCCACCCTGGAGTTTAAGCTCCTCCTATTGTCCACAGGCTGTTCTGTTTTATCTATACCCACCTCTCCCTGCCTGGCCATCATTGCTGCCAGTACCCCTTTTCCTAACAGCCTGCCTGAATGGGGAAGGTGCTAGAATCCAGTTATTAAAAGTGTGCAATAAGCCTGGCGTGATGATGGCACACCTTTAATCCCATCACTTGGGAGGTGGAGGCAGGTGGATCTCTGTGAGTTCTAGAACACCTGGAGCTACAGGGAGACCCTGTCTCAGTAAAACAAAACAAAACAAAACAAGTCTGTGCTCTTGCACAAGATGGCCTAGATTCTTAATAGTTAGACCTTGGGTAAGTCACCCTGTATCTCATCAAACACTAATTTATTTTCTTTGTTTTTGGAGGCGGAGTCTTATATGTAGCCTGGGCTGACCTGGAACTCATTATGTAGCCCAGGCTGGCCTTGAACTCATAGTAATCTGTTTCCCAAAACACTGATTTCTTTAGCTGAAACTCTTGGGAGATAGCATTGGTTTGAGAGTCAATGAGCTAACAATGAAAAGTGGGCTAGAACCCAGGACACAGTAAGGGATTGCTTGTCTCTCTGCCTGTAAGTGACCATCTCTAATCCATTTTCTATACACAGGTAAGTTTATCTTCCTAAATCACATTTAAAATTACATCAGCTCCTTCCCAGTTTACTCTGACAACTTGCACTAAGACCAAGAACTCACAGCCCAACACTATCTTCATTTCTAAGACACTCCACATTTCCTATTCTTCTAGTTAAAGATTCAGCTCAGGGTACTCCATCTTCTTTGGGGCTCTCTACATGCTATATTCATAAAGGCTTTCACATTAAGGCTGAGATTCAAGGATCCCACTGCAATAACCTCTTTTCTTCTATTTTAAATCCTGTATCTTGGTCCTGTCTTTCCTTCCTCCTCTCACCCCTGGGGACTGAGCCTAGGACCTCACTGAGCATGCTAGGCGAGCACTCTACCATAGAGCTACAATACCCAGCCTTCTCACTTTTTCAAACAGGACCTAAGTGGTCCAGGCTAGCCCTGAACTGCAACCCACAGAGAAATTGAAACTGTCTTGCTATCTCAAGTAGCTGACATTACAAACCAGCACCATCAGGCCCAAGCTGTTTAATTATTGTGCATGTGTGCCATGTGTTAGCATGCACATGGAGGTCAGAGGCCAACTTGTAGGAGTCAATTGTCTCCTTCTACCATGTGGGTCCCAGGGATTGAGCTTAGGGCATCAGTCTTGCCAGCAAGTGCCTTTACCCACTGAACCATGAACGTTTGCCAGCCCAGCTTAGTTTTTATGACCTACAAAAAAACATAGAACATGAATCTGAATATCATCTGTATCATTCCAATTTTAGCATATGTACTACTGAAAGCGAACTCCAAATTCGATGTCTTTTTTTTCTTTTCTTTGAGATAGGGTCTCACTATGTAACTCAGGCTAGCTTCATTCAAACTCTCAATCCATTTGCCTTAGCCTCCTAAGTATTCAGATTTATCAGCCTGAGCTCTTCTTTATCTGTAAATGAACCTAACATGGCTGCTAGGAATTGAGAACGCAGCATAAGGTCAGTCCTCAGGAAAACACCAGTGTTTTACTATTACTAGTACTACATAGCACCCAACAATTATCTGTTAACTTCAGTTCCTGGGGATTCAATGCCCTCTTCTAGCCTCCATGGGCACTGCATATACACAGTGCACTTATATACATGGAGGCAAAGCACTCATATACAAAAGAAAAAGAAAAACATGTGCATTATCTGAGGGCCTTCCAACTCAAGTTTCTTAGGTCTTAAGGATCTCTATCCATAACGCAGGATGGACAGAGACTAGAAAAGTGTTTTTCTTTCTAATGACCAGTTCAGAAATCTGCAGTCTGGAATTCACATCTGTCTTTGATTTTACTTAAATGTGTAGCCCTGGAATGAATCACACAACTCTCAACTTCTATGTAAACTGTACATTTGCTTGAGCTACATCTCTCTGCTCTTCACGTCCTGGAGAACTCCTGTTAAGTGCTCAGGAATTCATCCACTCAGAACCATCAACTCATTTTATGACTGTAGCACTGGTCAAAACTAGAATGGAATACTCCTAGTAATGAACAGTGACGGATAACGCTTCTGGAGCATCTATGTGCCACATACTGTGCTAAGAACATGATGGGTTTTTATCCTCACATAACCACTTTAGTATTTCCATCCTGGAAAATAGTAAGATTTGAGAAGATGAAGTGACAGAGCCATCAAGCCACAAAGCCCAGAACTAAGCTGCATGTCTGCTGATACAATGCAAGAAACTTTCACCATGACTTTCTGTCTCTCCAATGCTAATAATTCTCTTAGTCTCCTCTTCCTTTCCCTCTGCACCTGTCACTCAGGGCCAGGAAACTGCCTCCTCATCTGTCTTCATTTGAACACCTCTCCAAGACCATAAAACTGTTCCTCAGAACATCTCAACACTTAAAAGATCCTTCCTGAGACAACCCTTCCAGAAGTCAGGAAGCTTCTTTCCAGTCCTCCTACCCTTATCTAGCACTGGGTCATGTGGAAACTTCTTAGCAATACCCTCTTGTTTTTGTTTTTTTTCTTTTTTGAGTCAGGGTCTCCCTTGTAGCCCCAGCTGGCCTGGAACTTGCTATGTAGATCAGGCTGACCCTGATCTTACAGAAACCTGCCTGCTTCTGCCTCCATTGTGCTGGGATTAAAGGCATGCCCCACCATACCTGGCTTGAAATATAGTAATATTAAGGCCAAAGTCAAGGGCCTTGAAGCTGTCATGGGAATATGCTTCCTCTCTGTGACTAGATTACAGGGCTGCTGAGATTTAGGCAGTGATACAGTGAAAAGTGGACAGAGTAGTAAGTACCTAGGACGTGGCTCAGTGATGGGTATTTTTCTCCCTTTTCCTCCTGCTGTCAGCTGTCCCTTCATCCCTACCCTATGTTCTCAATCACTGTTGTTTAGGCCTTGCAGGGTAGCCAGAGGCATCTGAGGGACAGAGAGAAGCCTTGTCTAAGCCTTCCCCCACCCCCAGGGTACTGCCAGGACCCCAGGGCTAAGAGATGCAGCTTCTCCTCTGGTACTGCCAGGGGATGTGACAGAACAGCTTCAAGGGTTCGGCTCAATGGAGGACCTTGTTCTACTGCCCAGAAAGAAGAGAGTAGTTTTGGACGAATGGAGGCTGACCCTGGGAGAAATGTGTGTTCATGTGTCTTAAGCAGTGGTGGTAGGAAGGGCGGGCCTCCCAGGACTGGGAAATATCAATGAGAACTGGAATGAGTCCAAGGAATGTGTGCAACCTCAGGCCCCTTAGGGTGAGCCCAGCTGGGGCTGCAGATGACGGGTGGGGATGGAACTTCTTGTTTCCTGCCCAGACCAGAAATGCCTGGCCCAGAGCTAAGGCACAGCAGGGGCCTACTGAATACCTGTACAACTGAATCCAGATGGTCTGCTGGAAGGTACTGGTGTCTATGCTTGCATAATGTGCCCTTTCTGGGATCCCCCAAATTCAGTCACTGTCTCAAGTCCTAGCAGAGCATATCCTGTAGGTTCAACAGGAAAACCTGCCTGGGTTCACACTACCTCTAGCTCTGTGACCCAGTGAATTGCAATTGTGGGCCAGTCCTTTACATTCTCTGAGCCTTGATCACTTGTCTCTGCAGAGGCTGTAAAAGCCCTGAAGTCACAGGACTGTAGAGAATCATACATCCTTCCAAAGCACCCGGCATGTGTAAATACTCAGCACATGAATTCTGTCACCATTTCTGGTTGGAAATCTGGAGCCAGGCTTTATCAGGGATGTAGGAGCAAGGGGCTCATTTAGCAGAGCACATGTGGGACTCCCCCTTGAGATTCCCAACAAGGGTGGGGAATTTTGCAGTTATTTACCAAAACCAGACACATCTCTGGTTCCTTGGAGTTAGAGGCACACTGCAGTCATGAAATTCTGGAGGTGGGCGGAGGCGGGGGCTGGAGAATACTGTAATGCCAGAGGCTGCTTGCTGAGTTGAGCTGTAGCCTGGAGCATGGAGAGGATGACGGAGACTATGTCTGAGTATCCTCCTTAGCACAACTGCTATAGGGTAGGGCTGGCCAGGTGACTAGAGCTAAGTAGGTCATGACCCTGGGTCCTGGCAAATCACAGGAGACAATATATCTTTGAGACTGTCATAAAAGCAAACCCATTTTTATGTGCTGGGCTGCAGCAACAATCACAGAGGCCTCTGGCACTAGTCAGAGGAGCTGGGGTTCTACTCCAGACATGCCCTTCTCTGCCTCATCCCAGATCACACAGACATGGGGGAGAGCCAGGGGCTCACATTTTTGTTTGATGAACTGTGTCAGTACAGCCTGAAAGGGAAGGGTGGAGGCATCAGGGGATAAACTCTGGTGATTCACTTGCCATGGCCCCCTCCTGACCTCAGTTTCCCCACCCAGACCAGAGAGCTAGAGAGGGAGAGGCCTAAATCTGCTAGATACAGCAACTAACGCAGAAGACTGGAGGTGGGAAGAAACACAGGAAATATAGCCCAGGAAGCCATAGGGTGAGGGAGGGAAGGGGATCTGGGCCATCTGGATCCATCGCCTCCCTCCAGTCCATGGGACCACCCTTCTGGTCCAAGGTAGAATCAGTGGGAAACAGAGGGTCTAAATTACTGTTAGAACTCCAAACGGCAGGAAAGACGGGACTGGGAGGAGCAGGGATGATGACAAGAGGAAACCCGGGGCTTCCCTTTCTATGCTCAGGAACCTAGAGTCCTGCTTTTGTTTCTGGTCTTGGATGTTGCCTCAGGTTCTGCTTCCTTAAAACCCACGCTGGCTGCCTGGCCTGGGCACAAGCCCCCTTCCACAGCAGTAAGCCCCTGCTCCCCACTTCAGGTAAATCACAGGACAGTTCCCTCACCACCTCTCAGGACACACCCAGAATCAGCACCAGCATCAAGACCAGTGCTTCTCCAATGGGTGCACACAGGAGCCAACCAGGGAGCATTAAAGCTGAAAAGAGGACTATGCCTCAGATTATTTTTAGAAAGTCTCTGGAGGACTGTCACAGGACTAGCACACACTTGATTCTGTTTCTCTGTGCTCCCTATCCTGTTAAGATAGACAGGTGGGCAGCACTGACATAAACCCAGGGTCTCTCTGAGAACTGGAGAAAGCAGTCAAATTGGTTGTATGAAACAGACATGAAACCCAGAAAACACAGGGCTTCTGTCTCACTGCTCAGACCTCCTGACTTGAAGGGATCTCAAGAGACGCAGATGAACTCCAGTCCCTGGAAAAGGTACCTCTTAATTGGGGACTAGTGGGCCAGCTGAACTCACTACTTGGCTGAGGGAGTAAACATGCATCTTTCTGAAGAGGATAAATCTGAAGAGGGTAACTCATTAGATTTCATTCTAATTTTTGGTGGTGCTGGGGAAGGACTCAAGGCCTCACATTTGTTAGGCAATCTCTACATTGATGTACCCCATCATGCATTATATACTAAGAACTACTGCTCTACAATGTGCTGGGCACAAAGAGAGAAGTGTGCTTAGAATGGCTATGCCCATTTTGAAATATTTACTCATAGCCAAAGAGGGGTAGAGCTGGATACAGAAGCCTCATGTGTCTGCTGTTCCAAGACAAGTAGATGGAGCAGCAGGACATTTTCTGTAACAGTGCCTAGTCCTTGGAAGAACCAGGGGTCTGTCCGGCCTCTCACTGTGTCTGAGGGGATCAAGACAGGAATCTGGATTTTTTTAAGTCATTCTGACTCCTCCCCTTGTGATTCTAATACAAGTATGGGAAACACAAAGAATGAAGAGTGACAATGAGCAAAGAGAAATGTCAGAGGACAGACAGTTCTTCCCAGGGCCAGATTCCAGTTCTAAGAGAACTAAGCAGAAATGTGGGGGATTTTACCTAAGGGTAGAACTGACAGGAGATGCTACCTCCTTAGTCTTAAAAGTCCTCATGTCATTAGGAAGAAACATTCAAGGCCCTACAGACTACTATGACCACTTCCTTCAAGTCATGCTTTGCTACAATCCTGGCAGTCACCCTTCCTGCTCACCATGAAGAGACATGGCCTTCCCTTTCTTCCCTCATTGTTTTTCTCACTGCTCTGCCCATCCAAGTGCCAGCTTCATATAAAACTTCTTCTCAACATAAGACATACTGAGGTAACGGTACAGGAAGAACTTTTCTTTTTTAGAGACAGGATTTCACTGTGTGGCTCTGGCTGACATAAAATTCTATGTAGACCAGGCTGGTCTTGAATTCAGAGATCTGCCTACCTCTGCCTCCCCTAAGATCAAAGGCATGCGCCACCACACTCAGACTCTCTTCTCTTCAAGGTCCACTTCTGTTTTTTAATTTAAAAATTTTAATTTTATGTGTATGAGTGTTATGTCTGCACATGTGTTAAGTGTACTGTGTCACGCAATGCCCACGGAAGACAGGAGAGGGTGTCAGATCTCCTGAACTGGAGTTACGGATGGTTGTTAGTCACCATGTGGGTGTTGGGATTTGAACCTGGGTTTTCTGAGCGAACAGCCAGTGTTTTTAACCACTGAGCCATCACTCCAGCCCCAAGAGGTCCACTTTTTCATATAGCATGTTTTTATGGGCAATGTGATGAAAATAAATACTTCAGAAATAGGTACCTCCAAACTAGGGGTTACGCAGACTTCTACGAATTCATCCAGGGATGCTTAAAAGGTCCTTATTTCAGCACCAGAAGAACAAGACCAAATGTGCCATATGGCTGAGGGAGCTACTGGTTGACTCCTCTCAAGTCAAAATTGAAGCCTATCTCTAGCCAATTCTGTGACCCAGGGTAAGTCACTTAATTTCCCAACCTGTAAAATAGGCCTTTCTTAGATGTTGTGAGGATTAAGCATGATAAAGCACTGCTGGGCATGGTGGCTCATGCCTGTAATCCCAACACTGAGGAAGCTGAGGCAGCAGGATCACTGCACTGCAATCCTGAGGGTAGCCTGGGCTATAGTAAGAGTCCTGTCTCAAAAAACTGTAAAAAAGAGAAAATAAAATCAAAAACAAAAAAACAGATAAAGCACTGTTGAGTAGACAAGTAGGGTTCCCTAAAGGTGACCTTGCCTTACTATGCAGCCATCAATGGCGGTGTGTATGTGTTGAATATGGAACGCTATTCAGATTATTGTATAAGTAGAAAAAAAGCAAATGAACTAATATGCATATTTGGCTATATATGTTAGAACAATCAAAACATGACAAAGCTAGGAGATATGTATGTGCTCATATGTGCACAGACTTCTTCTTACAAACTTAAGTCAGGAACATGAGAATTAGGAAAAGAGACTCCACTTTTAGCTTTTGAATGGTTTGATTTCATCAATTCTAAAAACCAAAAAGTGCTCTAATAAATCCACAGCAACAAGCACCGCTGTCAATCCTGATAAACAGCCAAGGCTGGCATCCAGAAATTACCTAATGCCTGATCAGGATGAGGTAGTAGAGGGGTTTGATGGAGCTGTGTAAAACACAGGACTGTCCCAAGGGGGGCCCTCCCCGTAGGGAGGGACAAGTCAGACCACAGAGCTCCATCTGGGTGCTGGAACAGGGGGCCCTCCCTGATGGGGAGCCTGGCAAGGCCAAGAACAGCGGAGCTGAGCTGCAGCAGCTGAGTAGAGCTCTGACTGTTCTTTGTCTGCCAGACCAAGAACTAGGCCAGTGTAACTCATGATCAATGGAACTATCGTCTGCTGCAGCCATGGTGCTTCTGCAACCTGTACATCCAATTCAGTGTGATTAAAGGTGTTGCTGAGTGGGCCTGGAGAGAATGAAGGCCAGGAAGCTCAGTAGCGCCCCTAACTCCAATCTTAGAAACCCATGCTGCTTTCTTATTCTAAAATGAGACAGTAATACTGCCAATCTCACAGGGTGGTTGTGAGGACTACCTGAGTTACTGACAATAAAAAACCACCAACACTACTGGGTATTTACGCTTGCCAGGCACTACTGAAGAACTCCACCTGCATTAACTCACTGACTCCTCGTAAGTACCTTAAACATAGATGTAATTATCATCTTGACTTTAAGATGTGGAAATTGAGGCATAGAGAGGCTAAATTATTTGGTTACATGGCAAATGACAAGTATGATTTCAGCCCAGGTAATCTGACTCAAGAGCCACCAAAGACACTGCTTTCAGAGCTACAGACACAAGTTAAGAGTACTTGGCATGCAAGGACTCCATGGGAACTGTTGAAGATGAAGGTGGGAAGAACAAGGGCCACTAAATTGGACAAACTCTGCAAGGAGCCCCTCAGCCCCCTATCCAGCTAGCTTCTGAGTATCCACACCCTCCCTCTTGTCGGCCTCCATCTTCCACCTATCACTGGAGTCAGCAGCTCTGTACCCAACCTAGTCAAGGCCCAGAAGGCCACAGACAGAAGTTTTAGCAGTGGTCCTTGAGCAGGTTCTCTGGACTACCTCCTGTTTATTCCTAGGCTCTAGGAACAGGTTCTATACAAGTCTGGTTTATTCCAACACCACCTCGGGACAGAGCGCTTCTCAGCTGAGTCCTGGTATGAAGGACTACATCTATATTCAACAATACTCTCTAGAAGATATTTATGCCTTGAGTCTAATCTACTTCTGGAAATGTATAGGATAGCTTATGGGTTTCAGAATATTTCTGAAACTCTCTCCCAGCTCTGATGTTCCAGAGTTTGAAAAACAAATCACAGCTCACCTTCTATTCCCTTCTTCATGCAATGAATTTAGTCTGTTCCTTTTAGCAGCCCACGTAAGTAACCCAACGTGATCCTTCCTCTGTTATGGGCAGTTTCCAGTTTACATTGCCCTTCCTCTTGGGAGTTCCCATTTCACACCTGAGAGTATCTGACTACATTACCCAGGAGACCCGACGAGCAGAGCTCACATTTCTCAGCACCAATGCTGGCTGGCCTCTGGTACCTGCTCTAACTCTCCCCGGAGCAGCACTCCTGTCTCTAGGGTAGACTCACCAGCGCTGTTGGCCTCTGACTCCAGCAGCTGGATGTCACTGCAGTCTGCCAATGAGTGTTCCAGGCAGAGCTGCAGAAAGCGGGCTTGGGTACGGGTAACCCGCTTCAGAAGTGACAGCAGGGCCACTGTCTGCTCACATTCATTCCAGCCCTTGAACCAGCCAGCGAGGATGCCCACTTGGTCTCGGAACATCATGGTGCCAGGCCTGGGGCCAGGGTGGGGGGACGGCGGTGGCAAGGGCCAGCGCCGTCACATGGTCTCGGTTCTGGGCTCCTGTTACCTCTCCTCTGAGGGCCAGGGCTTGAGGCCGTCCCCTGACGTGGTGGCAATGGGTGGTAGGGGGAGGATGGAGCCTGCTTACATCAGGGGAGGTCTTGGTCCAGCCACACCTCTCCAGGTTCCTGGAAAAGAAAGCAAAGGAGTCAGAGAGAATGAAGGGGCTGAAATAGTCACAATGCACATGGTCAAGTGGGGGGGCTCTTCCTGCCTCTGGGAGAAAGATGAGGCCAACAGCAGATTCAGAGAAAAGGCATGACTGGCACCCCAAGACCAGCTCCAGAGTCTAAGGAAAAGAGGATGCCCCTCACACCTGCCTGTCAGAGAAAGAAGATGGGATCAAAGCAGAGAATGAGTTGAAAAGGTTGTCAGAAACAGGAAGTAAGAGGTTACACATTATGGGAAAAGATCTTAATTTTGAAGGTCTGGCTCAAGGTGACATGACTAAGCACACATGTGCCCCAGTACACATCTCTTGACCTTGCTAGTCTCTGGCCACCTCTTCTTAGAGCTGGACAGAGTGCTCACCTGCAGAAAGGACCCTGCAGTCTCCTTAATTACTTCAAGCTAAAATCCACAAAACTCGCTGCAGGGTGGATGGTGGGGTGGTGACCCCGGGTATGCAGCTAGCAGATGCTGACAGCAGATACCTATCTGGTCACTGACTGGCTGGGTACTTGCTAGCCCTTGGGCACTACCACAGACAGGACTGTTTAAAGAGCAACACGAGGGGCCCTTAGCGGTGGTCCTTGAGAGGGTTCTCTGGACTGACTTCTTCAAACCAGCTCTCCTATTCTGGAATAGGTTCAGCTCTGAGCGCTAAGATCTCTAAGATCTTGCCTCTCTACTAAGAGGTAAATCCCTCCTGGCCTTCCTCTTCATTTCCTTTAAGTCAGCTACAGGCCCAAGTCTCTGGGTTGGAAGTCCCCTTGATTTCCAGAACGCCAGCTTGTCATCTGAGCCAACAGAATGCCAACCTGAGGGGAAAGGGACAGATTAAAAAGCAAAGACACTCAAGCAAAAGTGTCCAAATTCCTCTCATAAGCAGGAACTACACAGAAGTTGTTTGAACCGGGCAAACAGCAGGCCCAGTTGTTCTTCAGTTGACTGGTTTTTAGACACTATTCTGAAACTTTTCTCTAAGTGCCTCCCTTTGACATCCCCTTCATCTGTCCCTCCTGAACCAAGTGCCCTTGGTTCTACCTGCTTCAAACTGTCAAAGAACTGAGAACTCTACACAAGAGACCCACTGACCCTACCAGGTGAGGACTTAGGAAGCAACTTCCATCTCCTTGAACTTCTATGCACTTGCTGGGGGAGAACTCTACGGCACACGTGGCAAAGCCTGAGTTGCCCTGCAGGTCCCCTGTGGAACCTCAAAACAGAACTGGTTAACTGCCAATCTCTTTGAATATAAGTGCGGGAAAGGTATGAAGGGAAATGAAACTCTGTTCCAAGTTAAACAGGCCTCCCATTGATATTTTTTAAAAGATTTAATTTTAGATATGAGTGTCTTATGTATGTGTACCATGTAAGTGTCTGATGCCCATGGAGGACAGAAGAGAGCATGGATCTCCTGGCACAGATGGCTGTTAGCCACCATGTGGGTGCTGGGAACTGAACCTGGGTCCTCTGCAAGAGCAGTAAATGCTTGTAACTGCTGAGCCATCTCTCTAGCTCCCTTCCCACCAATCTTTTTAGAGAAATCAGATGTCACCTTCTTAAAGTCCTTCAATGACTTCCTACTGCATTTCAATAAAGTCTAATCTAAATCCCAATTTACGTTGGCCAAAGTGCCCTGCATGCCTTCTGTGGTCTCTCCAACCTCATGATGTAGCAAGTTCCTTCTTGTTCACTGGACTCCTCTTTCCCTACAGGCTAGCTCCTATTTGTTACCAGGGTCTCAGCACAATGTCACTTGCTCAGAGTCTCCCTGACACCATTATTTAAGGACACGCTCCTGTGGTCACTCAAGTATTAGTGTGGTTTCATTTCTTTATAATATGGCACTCTGAGATACCATCATATTTTGTGTTTTTCTTCTCACCAACATGCAAGCCATGCAGTCAGTCTGAGCCTGGGACCTGGCACACAGGTTTTTTTTGTTTTTTTTTTTTTAGTTTAATTTTTATTACATTTAGAGAGGGGAGAGAGAGAGAACGTGCTGTGTATGCAAATAGAGGTCAGAGGATCTCTTTCCACCATGTGGGTCCTAGGGACCAAACTTAGGCAGGGGTCAGGCTTGGTGGAAAGCACCTTTACACACTGGGCCATCTCTGGCCCAGAAGCTGTTACAGAAAACAAAACCAATGGGTGGGGCAGGGTCAAGACAGGGTCTTTTTTTGTGGCCCAGGCTGGCCTGAACTCATAATCCTCCTTGCCTTAGACTTCTGACTGCTGAGATAGCAGGTGTGCACCACCATGCCTGGATCAACGTCTGTTAAATGAACAAGTAAAGAAGGTAAGCGTGGAAGTCACGCTTGGGATTTGTAGAGTCCTGGGGGGAATGATGAGAGAAGCCATGGACCATAAGATGGAAAAGACACTTGGAAACCTGGTCCTAAGAGAAAAATTTGAAGGCACTAAGGAAGTTTCCCCTGAGAAAAGACTCAAGGGAATGGCTGAGGGATGCCTTCAAGTAGTCAAGACATGGCATATAGAAGAGGACTCCTGAGCAGAGAACCAACACAGGCTATGGGAAATACTAAGTCACTTCCAGGTCTCCCAGAGCCACCAACTGACGTTGATGCTGGAGTTCCTCTGCTTCTCTTCTCTAGCATGTTTGAGATAAGAAGATGGCCTGGGTCAAACATGGCAAATAGGTTTTACCTCACACATTCACTCCAACTACTGGGAGTTGCTTCGTGGAACATTATGAGAGATGTTAAGAAAAGAAGCACATGCTTAAAAAACTGAGGCAAATACTGCTACACTGTATAACTATAAAAAAAGAGAGAAAAGCTTGACTTTGAAAAGATGGGGTTATGTATCTAATGTGCAGGAACAGCAGAAGATACATAGCACTAGTAGAAATGGTGCCTTCTGTAACCCTAGCACCTAGGAGGTAGGGGCAGGAGAACTGCCATGAGTTCCAAGTCAACCTAGGCTACAAAATAAGATCCTGTCTCAGAAAACAAAACTAAGCACATATAGTACTAGGTACAATGTGTCATTTTTGTTTTAACGTGGAAGATGAACTCTAAGCTGCTGAGACCGGTTACTTTGGAGAGACAAAAGAATTAGTGACACTATAAAAATACTATTTTACTAGATGCAAGTGAACATGTTATTTCTGTAATTCTAAAAAAGAATTTTAAAAAGTAAGGCTTCTACTTCCTGGCTTAGTGAGAAAGAGTACTGTGATTAATTACCAATGTTCAACCTGGCTGTAGGGTGGATGAGTGGTAGCTTGTGTGCCTCCAAAAAATCAGTTTCTGCCGGGTGTGGTGGCGAACGCCTTTGATCCCAGCACTCGGGAGGCAGAGGCAGGCGGACCTCTGTGTGTTCAAGTCCAGCCTGATCTACATAGTGAGTTCCAGGACATGTCATTTTTGTTTTAACGTGGAAGATGAACTCTAAGCTGCTGAGACCGGTTACTTTGGAGAGACAAAAGAATTAGTGACACTATAAAAATACTATTTTACTAGATGCAAGTGAACATGTTATTTCTGTAATTCTAAAAAAGAATTTTAAAAAGTAAGGCTTCTACTTCCTGGCTTAGTGAGAAAGAGTACTGTGATTAATTACCAATGTTCAACCTGGCTGTAGGGTGGATGAGTGGTAGCTTGTGTGCCTCCAAAAAATCAGTTTCTGCCGGGTGTGGTGGCGAACGCCTTTGATCCCAGCACTCGGGAGGCAGAGGCAGGCGGACCTCTGTGTGTTCAAGTCCAGCCTGATCTACATAGTGAGTTCCAGGACAGCTGGGGCTACAGGGAGACCCTGTCTCAAAAAGGCCAAAAAAAAAAATCAAGTTTCCTTCACAGATCCAGCATTCCATGGCTTTCTGTCCCAAGGAGGCAACAGCTGCTTCAACATAAGGAAGAATTTTAAAATAATGGACTTATCCAAAAATGGAACAATAAGCTCCCTGGCTGCTCAAATGGTCAAGCGGAGGCTGGATGGACATCCCTTGGGAGTGGGAGGGATTCCTCCACTGGTTGGCAATATGTAAGACAGAAGGCCATGTTACTATTTCAGGGGGAACATTTGTGATGGGAGGGTTGATATGCCAAGAGCACTTAGAGCAAATGATGACCAAATCCACAGACTAAAGTTGTGTGCATTCTTTTTCTATCTTGTTACTTTTCCTCAGCAACAGCACTGTATCTCCAAAAAGCTATTGACTAAACATTAATCAAGCTTCTTCTAGCAAAGCTTTGCGACAGAATGAGATTTCAATATGCTGCTCACCAGGCCAGGCTTCAAACAGAGATGGTCAGTGGGAACTACAGTGAGCTGCAAAGTACAACCTAATCATAGGCAGAAAACATCATTCTGCTCTATCAACTGTTACCATGTGGGAATGGGCTCAGTCCTACTAGGTCTTATTTTTTGTTTTTTTTCAGAGCTGAGGACTGGGCCTTGTGCTTGCTAGGCAAGCGCTCTACCACTGAGCTAAATCCCCAACCCGTTTTTCTATTTTTTTTAAAGCTAGAAATCTGGCTTTGGGAAAAAAAAAAAAAAAAAAACCTATTTGAAATTTTTTTGATTTTATGTGTATTAGTATTTTGTCTGCATGTATATAGGTGCACCCATGTCATGCAATGTTTGTGGAGGCACAGAAGAGGGCATTGGAGCCCCTGGAACTGGAGTTACAAAAGGTTGTTAGGACCATGAGGGTGCTGGAATTAAACCCGAGTCCTCCGCAAGAGCAGCCAGTGCTCTTAACTGCTGAACTGTATCTCTAGCCTCCAAATCCCCTATTTTTAACTGTTGGAAACCAATTCGCATTAAAACATCAACTGAACTACAACAAAACCCCAAAACATTGTGGCCTAAGGTCCTTAGAACAAACTGGAAATAGACCAGAAGACAGCTATGGATTGCTAGGGTCTTACTGTTCTGCCTTCGAATCACACCATTGCTCAGGGAATATAGTTGGTGGAAAGGATGCAGTGATGCTGCA